TCATTGAATGTGTAGATTGCTTTGGGTAGTATGGATATTTTGATGTTAAACTTTATAATCCATGAACTTGGGCTATCATTCCATTTATTTATGTCTTCTTTAATTTTCTTTTATCAGTGTTTTTTAGTTTTCAGTGTACAAGCCTTTCCTCTCCTTGGTTTAAATTTATTCCTTTTTTGAAAAATACTTCATTTTTTACAGCATTTTTAGATTCACAGTAAAATTGAGTGGAAAGCTCAGAGAGTTCCCCTTGCTTCCTGCCCCTACTCATGTATAGCCTCCTCTGTTATCAACATCCCCCAGCAGAGTGGTACCTTTATTGTAATTAATGGAACCTACACTGACATATTATTATTACCAAAAGTTCATAGTTTACGTTATGTTCTACTCTTGATGTACATTCTGTGGGTTTGCACAAATGTATAATGACATGTATCCACCACAGTAATGTCATACAGGGTAGTTCCACTGCCCTAAAAATCATCAGAATGCTCTACTATTCATTATCTATTTTATTCTTTTTGATGCTATTGTAAATGGAATTGTTTTCTTCATTTCTTCTTTGGACTGTTCACTGATTGGTAAGTTTCTTAAATCTGTTTAAAGCTATGTGTTCACCTCTTGTTCCCTCTCTTCCATATTTTCCTTGAAATTTGTTTGGCCATTTGCTTTTGGAGAAGACCTATGTTTACCCCCAAAAATGTCAATTGCTGGATTATCTGTGGCTGTACAAGTGAAGTGAAATTTCAGCTAAGCAGAGGAAAAAAGGGTTGTTTTTTCTACAGCATTTCTCTAGGCCATTAAACTCCTCCTCCTGAGGCAGTCCAGGTCAGCCTGGTCCTGCTCAGTCCTTAAACTGGGCACAGCTCTTCTTTGTTTATAACTCAGAGTCACACTCTTAGGTATGGATCAGAGTTCATTTCTTTTTGGGGAAAGGTCTGTTATTTCTGGACAGGCTTCAGTTTTAAAACACCCACCACATAGCTTCCTGGCTTCAGCGTGGTAGGTTCCTGGGCTGTGAGGTTTTGATTAAGGTGGAAGGTTTATTATGGGACTGGAAATAATGAAACCCACAAACCTTATCATTTTTAGGTCTTATTCCACGGAATTCTAAGGTTTGGCTTGGATGGTAGGAGTGTTTGGGTGCCTGGCTTTAGTTACATTTTCCCCCTCTGAGTAAGAACGTGAGCAGGCTCTGGTTGCATGGGATGGAGAGAGTAGTGACATACCAGGTCTTATATTTAAAAGCAGCTTCTTTTCTCTCCCTAACGGTGTAGTTATGACTTGCTTACAAATCCTGTTGGGAAAACTCCTGGTACATGCATCACGCAGACCTAATAAGTCCATCTGCTTTTTCTTTTATGTCTACCCTCTCCTGTTTGGTTTGAGCAATATGTCCACAGCTCTGACCTTTTAAGAAATCCTTTAACTTCTGGAACTGACTGTGCTGCCCAGAGAGACATGTTTTGGCTGTTGGTCCGTGTTAAGAAGGCTGCATTGAGGTAGCCCTGTGATGATATGTCTGGGTGTGTATAAAAACTTGCTCTGAGGCTCTGACACTTAAACTTTGATTTTCTCCTGAGTTCAGGATGAGTTTCTTCTTCTTCCTCTTTTGTCTGGGTATTTTCATGTTTGAAAATGTGCTGAATGAATAGACAAATGAGATATTTTTCTTTCTAATCTGTCTTTTTGTGATGTTTCCCGTTATATGTGATGATACTAATTTTTAACATTATATTCTACCTTGACCGGTACATTTCTTTGTGGAGATTTTCTCTTTGCACAGCCATTTTGTTTCTAAAACCTAGGGATAAACTGAAAAGCTACTGGAAACGCTAGTAAATCAGTTTAAAATGGCTAAGAGGGGTCACAGTATTATTTCATATTGGTCATTTGGAAAGTGCCTTTAACTAAGGACAACTAATCTCACTTCTCATTTTGTGGGTACTTCTGAAAGCTGATCTGCCAGTGAGCAAGGAGCATATGAATTTAAAGTCCTTATCCAAATCTTACTGACTTTTCTTGCCTAGCAGAGGTCAAAATCACCTCGTAATGAAGGGGTGGGAGGTCAGTGACTTACGTCAATGCTTGAATAGTTTTTGTTAACAGAATTTCCATATAAATTTAATATTCAGAAAATAATTATAAAATAAAAAGCATCTTGTGTACTTGAAGTATAGAAGGTCAACAATGCATTCTCATGGCCCTTTAAACTAGAACATTATAAAAAAATATTAAGATCAAGGTGAAACCCTGAGTCCTGAGAACTGATCACTTGTTTCCTGAGTTTAAGTTTTTGGGGGATGGGAGAGAAATCTTTCAGTTTTACATTCTGTGTATATATGTATGCATGTGTGTCCATGTGTGTTTGCTTATAAATAAGTGTGTGTGTGTGTGTGTGTGTGTGTGTGTGTGTGTGTGTGTGTTTGTACCTAATGTTAACTCTGGAAGAGTTTTTATAAGGTGCTACTTTTTTTATGGGGTATATTAAATTTTTAGTAGTACTTTCCATAAGCATTATTTTCTCAACAGCTTTCTTAAGTAAAGAGCATTTCCATTTTATCAGTGAACAAGCTGGCGCTACAGGAGGATGAGATGACTTGCATCACTGCCACTGGGTTAAAGAGCAGGTTCCTGTGTTGACTCTCCATCTGTTGGTCATTCTGTTAACCAGAGTGCCCAGGCCATCAGATTATCTCTAGCTCACCATTGCAGCTGGTTAATATTTCTCAGTTGACCTCTGTAACCCTGAGCCCTAACTCTTTTAAACTGGAATCAGAATTCTGAAGATGTATGCAATTGGCTTTGTCCTTTGAACTCAGAAATGCTGCTAGGAGTGACTGAATCGCCCACCTGTAGTTCCGTGTGGTCACACAGTCTTAAATGCTCACCTTTTAAAAATTTATTTTTTAAATTGGTAATACATGTATGTACTTAGCACAGAATGCAAATAGCACAAAAAGTTATTAAGGAAAAGCTTACCTCCACCTCTGCCACCTAGTGAGCCAAGTAACAGCTATCATCAGGGATAGTGTGTGAAATGCTTTACTATTTACTTTACTATTATTATGGTGATTTGGGCAGGAGAACAGCTGTGGTGATCGTTCTGCCAGCAGTTGGCTCCATCATGCACAGCCAGGGCATCTGCATCCACTCAGCTGATAAGTCTAAAGGTAAATTATCCCTTAAAAGGGACTGTCTCCAGATTAATATAATCAAAGCTATAATTACCTAAATAACTTAGTTCTTTGGTCTGACTTTTCTAAACATAGCCTATATTTTTTTCCACCCCTGACTCTTCAGTTGTTTCATCATAGAAAATGTAAAATAGAGTAAGGTATAAAGAAAAAGTTGTTACCCATAATCACATAGTCCAGAGACAACTGCTGTTAACATTTGTGTTATTTATTTACTTTTAAAATTGTACAAATAATATATGGACAATTTTGGAGTATTTAAAACAGGTCCATCCAGACACTATGTCATTTCATCTGTATTTACTTCATCTGTAGAGACTATGACTAAAGACTACGGCAGGACTTAAAACACAGGCACACACACACACACACACACACACACACACACACACACACACATTATTATACCCCAAAAAAATCTATGATGATTACTTAATGTTATACCCTGCTGCATTGACCTTTTCCCAGATTGTCTTAAATTTCTTCGGAGTTCATTACCAACACTTTGATATATATGCTGCCTGTCTTTGTTTCCTCCTTCTCCCCTGTAACTGTCTCTAATGCTTTGGACTCTGTAAAGTACACACAGCCTTTCTGTCTCTTACATTGGTATCTTACACTGGTATATCTTCTCTTGTGGCTTTGTTTAAGTGGTTACATGACATTCCAGGGTAGAAACATCATAATGTGTTGCTCATTTTCATGATGATGAACTTTTAGATTGTTTCCAGTTTTTTATTACTATTAATAATGCTACAGTAAACATCTCTATTTCCCCCAAATAAGGTTCTAGATGCAGACTTACTTAGACATAAATTCACCCCCCTTATCTCTTCCTCTCCCCTAAGAATGGGTGGCCTCAGATGAGCTATTCACACACACCCCATCTCCTGCAATGTGTATTGCCTTATATTTAGCTCTCTTATAGCTAAAATTTTTATAGCACACAATTTTTAATTTTACCTGTGCCTTTGTACCTCATTTGACAAGTTAACATTTTTAAACAGAAAATTTTATTGTGGTGTGGATAAAATGAGAGCTCCTGTGGCCGGGATTCTCACCTGGCTGTGGTTGACTAGCTCACTGCACACCTGTAGTCAATACATGGCTGTTGATTCTATAAGAAGAGTTCCACCCTGTACTCTGGGCATGACATGGTGGCAGGGCTACAAGGCTGCAGGAGAGTAGAGCAGAGGCTGGAGTGGTGGCAGTGCCGAGGACAGAGGCCCAGAGGACAGCTGTGCAGGCAGAGAGACCCAGAGGTCCAGAGGATGGTTGTGTGGGACAGCTGTGTAGACAGAGGGGCCCAGAGGCAGAGACTGGCTTGCTGCATACAGACTCGCTCTGAGTGAATGGGATTCTAGTGACTGACCTGCCACCTGGAAATAAAGTTGGGTATAACCCTTTCACCCCCAAAAACATTCTGCTGTTAATTTTTATTGGTCACATTGAATCCATAGCGAACTTGCCCGGGGCTGAAACCCATTGGCAAGACAACTGGTGGAAGTCGGCAGGGTTCATTGTTGACCAAGGAAAAAGACAAGCTGCTCTTATGGGAAGGGTGCTTCAGCAGGCTGCCCCTGTGAATGGGGAGATAGTGGATTGTCCCCCAATGGGTATGTGGTCTGAGGTGGCTTGCCTCCTAGAAGACTAGGCCCCAGGACTGGAGGCAAGTGGAGGTGACAGCTGAGGCTGTAGGGGTGGCCCTTGGTATAATAAGTAGATCCTTTGAGAAGCAGAGTGCCCGGGAGGCAGCAGGGACTGTGGGTTGGCTGCTTCTCACAGTATTAAAAACGTCTACAGAGGAGACCCAAGAAATGGCATTAGAACGCGAGCTGCAAACCTCTGTGGATTCCCTGAGGAAGGAGATGACCTGGATGTGGGAGGAGGCATCATGAGAGCGCCAGCAGCAGGGTGCCATTGGAGACGACACGGCAGCACTGCCAGGTGTTCTGAAAGAGGAAAGGAGGAAGAGGCCATCAAGGAAAAAGACAAACTCCTGAGGGAAGCACAGGCGGAGGTGGCACAAGAATGTCAGCCGTGAAGCATTGAGCTGAAGGTAAGAGACCTCTACCTTGCTGCGAGGCACAGTAGAAAAGGTAAAGGTTGTGGCAGAGGAGGTACTCGGGGGAGGGGAGAGAAAGGTGTTATCAGCCCCAGAAATGGAGGAGCTGGGGAAGGATGAAGGGGTGGTGCCAGAGGCACTGGCCCCTACTGTATTGAAAGCATGCCCAGTGGTTGTAAAGAAAATAAAGACCCAGCAGCTGAAAGTTCCCCAAGGAGAGAAGCAGCCCCCTCCCCAGGTCGTGGAGCACTCCATGATCCACCCCTATACTCAAGCTGAGCCGGTGGCTGTGGGACTTAGGGGTGGATGGAATTGTTCTGTCAGGACCAGAGATGGGAAAGCTGTCTTCCCTGACAGTGCAGCCCGCCTTGAGGCAGCGATTACAAAATGTGAGGTGACACGTACAGTAGCTGAAGCAACGAGAACCCGGAAAGAAATAATACCTGTTACAGGAGGAATTTGAGGGGCCTCGTGAGGGTTATGAGGACCCAGATGTGGGTTGATTTGATATGGACAGGAGTAGATGGAAGGAAATTAGACAGGAAGCCAAATAGGATCTTACTGAAGCTATGGCAACAACTGAAACCAGAGCAGCAGTTCCAGCCATTAAGACCAAAGAGGCAGAGCCACAAGTCCGGCCTGTGTGTTTGCAAGACTTTTTGCTGGAGAGGCAGAGAACAATGTTTGAGCTTCCCTGCACAGGGACCATTGCAGAGGAGTAAGGGCACAGAGATTGAGAGGAGAGAATCCTGGAGGGGTGGAGTGTGGATAAAATGAGAGTTCCTGTGGCCAGGATTCTCACTTGGTCATGGTTGACTAGCTCACTGCACACCTGTGGGCAATACATGGCTGTTGCCTCTATAAAAAGAGCTCTGCCCAGTGCTCTGGGTGCAACATGGTGGCAGGGCTACAAGGCTGCAGGAGAGCAGAGCAGAGGCTGGAGTGGTGGCAGCGCCGAGGACAGAGACCAGAGGACAGCTGTGCAGGACGACTGTGCAGAGAGGCCCAGAGGCAGAGACCGGCTTGCTGCATGCAGACTTGCTCTGAGTGAATGGGATTCTAGTGACTGACCTGCCACCTGGAAATAAAGTTGGGTATAACCCTTTCACCCCAAAGAACATTTTGCTGTCAATTTCATTGGTCACTCTGAATCCATAGCAAACTTGCGCATGGCTGAAACCCATTGGCAAGACGTGTGGCAATTGTAGGTTTACATGTACTGTAAGACACAGTACACAGAGATCCTTGCATACTTTGCTGGGTTTCTCCTAGTGCTAAATTTAGCAAAACTAACTACATCATACAATATCTTAATCAGGATATTGACATAGGTATTATTCACTAATTGTTTGATTTCTCCAGTTTTACTTGTATTAGTGTGTATGTGTATCAAGTTTTATGTAGTTTTATTTTATGCACCACAGCAGTCAAGCTATTTTGAATGCTTTACTGCAAGGATCCACACATATACAATCATACACCCTCTCCACATTTTAAAAAGATGCTTGAGATCTGAGTTCTGCATTCTCATATTCCTGTGGTCTTTTGCCCTTTCTGATGACAAGAAACCACAGGTCATCTTGTTAAAATAAGTACTAGGACACTGTAAAAAAGAACTTGGATTATGTATGGATTTACTGACACTAGCTAATAAATGAGAATGACTTGTGATTAGTATATCAATTGCTTGTAAATGAAAGGGAGTGTTCTGAGTATCTGAAAACAAATTGCTCTCAAGAAGAGCTTTAAGTGCATGCATGCACACACACACACACACACACACACTCTTGATAAATATTCCAAATTGCTTCCTGACAAGGTATTACCGGCATTGAATATCATTTAAAAAACGTAATGTTACTAGGTAAACAATATTTTTACTATCCTACTTTGTTAAAATATTTTAATACAGTTATCAAATTAGGTCTCAGAGTATTGTCAATATTCTCCTAGCGGACATGGGGAAGACACCTCTGTCATTTCTCTGGTTGATAATGCCAAAACATTATTTTCAGCAAAAATCAAACCACTGAAGTTACTCAATGCAATAAGCATACAGACTTCTATCTTTAGCAAAGCTGGTTCTAACTTTACCGAAACATGGCTTGTGGAATTCTGGCAATAGTATTTTGCTTAACAGTTTTCTGAGTAAGGGCAGATTGGAAGACTTTTGCTAAAATTATTTCTAAAAGGGATTTGATCTAAATCAAAGGATACTTACCCTTTCTAAGTACAGTTTAATGAAAACATTTTCTTTTCTTCAGGTGGAGGTCATGTCTGGGAGGAGGGGCCATCTCTGTCCCTCCCTGAGAAAGGAGCATGTTCTTTCAACTTGTCACTGGCCGGGGTAGCCCACGTTACCATGGCATGCTGTCTCCTTTTGTGGGGTCAGAATTCTCACTGGTCTCTTAGTGAGTCAGTATGGATGTACCTTTTATTGTAAGCCATCATTTCTGCTAAAGGCAGAGTATTGCTGAACTTCGAATTGAGGAAATTATGAATAATAATGTAGGGATGAACTTGGCATAGAGAGGACATAAAGAACAGGTTGAATTAGAAGGACTTGTCCTCAGAGAAATAGTGTGAGGAGCCACTTGGGCCAGAAATGCAGTTCATGATAAGTCATTCCCCAATTAGCCTGTAGAAAATTAACACACACAATGCACAGAGGTGTGATTTCATTACAGCCATGTAGTCTTGCACATTTTAGATCTAGAAATCACATATGAAGTATAAGCAAAGGGGATCTGAAAGACCCTATATATTTGTCATTTAAAACAATAAACACATATATCCTTTGCCCCAAAATTATACATTTTGAAATTTGTCCTCTATGTGTGAAACTGACATTTGTGTACAAGGCTATTTATTGCAGCATTGTTTGTAATGACAAAGCTCTTGTTTATAAGTCAGCTGTAAACCCAAAATACGGACAACAGTCATGTGGAGTTTGGGTTGTGATTTTGAGAGTCCTTCCCTCTAGAGTAGATCAGATTCTGACACATTGTCCGTTTTATCTCCTGGGCTTGGTGCTGAATGAAGTTCTGAGATTGGGCAGGACGTGTGGTTGGTTCTTGTTGAGAACTCTTCAAGGCATGAGTTAACATCGCATTTCTAAGGACAGGATGCAGACCTGAAGCCATGCTGTTCTTGGTTCTCTTTCAGAGACTAGAAAAGGGAGGTCTGGGGAATTTGTTCTTTGATGAAGTGTTCTGTAAGCGGATGAAGTGAGGGATGAAGAAGTGTCCTGCTCCTCCTTTTCTTCTTACTCTTTTCCTTTAGGATTGGAAGCAAAAGACCCAAATTCCAGTTTATGTAAAAGCTTCACGAGGCATTAAGACTTGGAAGAGAAGCTCAGACCTGAGTTCCTATATTTCTGAACAGACTTCATTTTTAAAGCAATATCTGTGTTTCCTAATCTGTTTTATGGATATGTGATTGCTCTGGTAGTTTGCAGTGTACTGAGTTTGGGGATGATCATTATTGGAGACTCAGAACTTCTGAAAGTTTGGGACACAGGATCCCCTTCTTAGCTCTTAAATACATTTTTAAAACAATACATTTTAAAAACAAAGAGAAGTATTAGAATATAACTGGAATATTGCTTGTCTCCATGGTGAGAAGGATTTCATAATCATAATGTAAACACTGATTACTGAGTTGACTAGAAAGTATGAGTTGACCTCTGTCTTTGAAGGAAGGGGTGTGAGTGAAACCCTCATCTCTCATGACACAGTTTAGATAAGATCTAAGTTGAATAACCAAGAAAGAGCAATTAAACATAATTTTTAGTTAAGTAAGTACAGGAAGAAGCAGGTAAATGACTTTTAAAAAGTCTCTAAGTGTGAAGGTAGGGAGGACTCTTGCTTAAATCGTAAGCTTTCTGTCACTATTCGACTTGTTAAAAGATGATGTGCCCATACTTACTGTGTTAAAAGTTAAAAACATATTTGTATGTTTATCTGCATATCTGAAGCCAAGAGAATTACAGCATTTGTAATGACTGTTTGAAATATCCTTGAATGTAACAACTGAAGTGATATTTGGAGAAAGAAAGATGAAGTGTGTGAATTCTTGGATGACGTAAAGGAATCATTGCTGTCATCTAATCTTAATTGGCCTGAATTTTTGCATCTTTATTTCTCTGTAATTCACAGGCCTCTGGTGCATTGGATCAGGGGTCGGCCAATTTTTCCTGCAAAGGGCTTGATAGTAAATATTATAGACCCAGAACATCACATGGTTTCTGTTGCAACTATTCAACTTTGCCTTATAGTGTGAAAGCTGCCACAGACAATATGTAAATGAACAAGTGTGGCTGTGTTACATTATAACTTTATTTATGGACACTGAAATTTGAATCTCATATAATTTTTTATGTGTCACAAAATATTCTTTTGATATTTTTCAAACACTAAAAAATGTAAAAACTATTCTCAGCTTGGGGACTTTCCAAAGCAGGTGGTGGGCAGGATTTGGCCAGGAAGCTGTAATTTGCAGGCCCCTGCTCTAGATCTAACACATTTGCGTCATTCCCTCCCATGCACAGCAAAAATCTTCCAGAACATCACATGGTTTCTGTTGCAACTATTCAACTTTGCCTTATAGTGTGAAAGCTGCCACAGACAATATGTAAATGAACAAGTGTGGCTGTGTTACATTATAACTTTATTTATGGACACTGAAATTTGAATCTCATAATTTTTTATGTGTCACAAAATATTCTTTTGATATTTTTCAAACACTAAAAAATGTAAAAACTATTCTCAGCTTGGGGACTTTCCAAAGCAGGTGGTGGGCAGGATTTGGCCAGGAAGCTGTAATTTGCAGGCCCCTGCTCTAGATCTAACACATTTGCGTCATTCCCTCCCATGCACAGCAAAAATCTGTGGTCATCTGGACTGCAAAGAAGAATTTACATGGAGTAGGTAAGCATCAGCTCCCCAACATTAGCAACTATTGAAAGGATCTATAGAGCGTTTTAAAGTCCTCAGGGGCTCTAAAAAGTTAAAGTCTGATTCTTCTGTCCCCGTCCCCTATTCTCTTTTATTTTTACTGTTTGATTATGAGAACATCCATGTAAATGAAGTTGTATTTCAGTGAGTACTTCATTGCTGGAAATCTCATTACTCTAGACAGAAATAAGTCAGAAGGCCATAGATGTAGAGACTCAGGTTCTCTGTTCCAGGAGAGCTGGCCTGGAGCACCTCGGCTCCAGCAGCTTCCGAGAGGTTGGGGAGAAAGGAGGATGTCAGTGACTAGACCAAAGGAGGCCTGTGCGTGAGGTCCTGCCTGCGCTGAGAAGACTGCCCCGGAGACAACGCCACAACCCCTTCCTTGTCACTGACAGTTGCCAGTGTTGGGGAGGACGCAGATCCTCACACACTTTGTTCCCTTTTTTGGTTTAACCGTGCTGTGCATTAGATTATAAAGATAAGTGAGACTGCGTGTCTCTAAGTCTGGAGAGGGATAGTGAGAGAAATTTTTGAAGCACATTGATAAATAGCTCTCATATATGTGGAGCCCACAACGGAGAGGAGAGTAGTGCAGAAGAGGGTTGACAAGGCAGGCAGGAGCTAGATCACAAGAGCCCCTACCTGTGCCCTGCTCAGGAATGGCTGCTGAAGCTGTGGGAAGCTGGTGGAAGGTTTTCAAGCAGAGCAGAGTGGATTCTAATTAGAGCTGGAGAATGGACAGCTTAGGAGGCTGTTGAAATTAGTTCAGGGGAGATAATGCCACCTGAGATAGATGGTGGCAGTGGAGGCTGAGAAGAGAGGAGACAGCAAAGAGATTTAGGAGGTTGAGTCTGAAGAGCTTGTCTAAACAGCTGAAAACAATTAGCATAGGACACGCTCCAGTTTGGGAGCTTGGGTGTTTGGGAGTCACAACAGCCCTGATCCTGAGGTAATGCTAGTAAGAGAAAAGGGCTTTTGGGGGCATCGGGGAGGGAGGGCAGTGGGACTTTCAGTGAGACATCATTGAGGTCCCTGGGGGATACCTACGGGCAGATGCCCTGTGACTGGAGCATAGAAGGGAGGCCTGGGCTGGAGGCCGAGATGTGAAAGTCAACTGCAGACCACTTGCTGGTCGTCAGCCGGGGAGAGGATACAGAGTGAGGAGATTAGAGAAGCGAGAACTCCCCAGAGACCCTCCACACCTCAGGGAACCATGAGGGATGGGTGTGCCCAGCTTGACGCTGGATTGGGTTTCCAGAAAGAAAGAATGTGAGGGAATCAAGGTGGATGTGTGTACAAATATGTATCTGTGAGGGTATTTATAATCTTAAAACGTTGAAATCACTTAACATAGCCAACTACAAGAACTAAATCAGGGCCTCCCCCTATGGTAGAATACCATGCAGCCATTAAAACATGAAAAATGTATACAGGTTTCCTTGCTATCTGAAAGTTTGCTGTGAAATCTTTTGTAAGCAGAAATGGTGTAAAGCAAAGAAGCAATTACTGTCAATTTACATGGAAAACATTTGAGTGTTCCCAGGCCCAAAACATTGCCTTTCTGGTACCTTAGGACATATCCTTCGATGGATGCACAAAATAAATAGAGATACAGCACAGATGCTCACAGATGCAGTTCCGAGCTGCGGTGGGTTGATGCTGAGATGTGGCTCTGGGGAAGGCCCGGCAGGGCGGCTCCCGCTGCTCAGGGGGTGTGCTGCCTCTGTAAGGGCTCCCGCCAAGCCAGATGCTGAGCGCTGTTTTTCATTGCTATGTTTTTTTGTAAAAATGAAAATCCTCTTAGGATTTGTTTTGGTTAGCAAACGCAGGTACTAATGTAGGTCTTTCCTTAATGTGAAATGGCCTAATGTGAGCTTTCAAAAGGCGGGGGATACCTATATACGTTAAAAAAATACTGGTGTCAAATACGTCAAAGTATTAGAAAAATACTAATTTAGTATTCATTTATTATTTCTTTAGATGTCATTTCAGTTTTCCTATGTGCCTTCTCTTTTCCAAACTGTTTACAATAAACTTGTATTACACTGATGAGCAAACCCATCCAAGCAGGGGGGGGCAATGCTACAAGGTGCCCGCTGGAGTTAGCATGCAGAGGGCATTGGCCTGGTAGTGCCAAGGCCACAGGAGGAGGGATGGGGAAGGGGCACATTTAGATTCCCCTTTGAGGAGGAAGGCTATAAAGGGAAGGTGAGATGGGGGCATGTCTGGGGTGGATGAGATACTGAGGTAATTATCTTCTCAGGTGGGAGAGGCTTGATCAAGTTCCTATGTTAAAAGAGTCAGTCTCTCCAGAGAGGTGGTTACAGGTACAAAGAGGATTATGGGTGGGGGCGGGGCCCAAGCAGAAGGAAGGAAGAGGGTTTAGAACTTATTTTAGGGTTGACCTATGACCAGATATGGGAAAGAGGATGGAAAAATTGCAGAGAAGCTCAATGATGTGTGGGTGTGGAGAGCTGGTCAAGGACTGAGCAGACCATCCGCTGAAGTGTTTTCTGGTGAGATGGACTCTTGTCTGAGGTCTGTTTTAAAATACTCTGTTGTAGGTGGGGTTGGGAAACAGAAAGGCATTAGATTAGAGGAAATGAGATCGCCAAATTATTGGTAGTTGTTGAAGGTGGGTAATGGAGGTTCACTATATGATTCTGAACACTTCTGCGAACTTTCAAAACTTTCCAAGATTGAATAGAAAAGGGCCCTCTTCTTGAGGATGCCAGCTGAACTGATCTGCATACATCTTCCTGAGGCTGTTAACCCCTTCGACTTGCATGCCCCTGCATCCCCTTACCTTCCCCTGCACCCCCTTACCTGCTCCTGCA